ACCCCCTTCATTCTCTCCGAAAAAATTCATACTAATCTTTCTCTTCCCTCTCTCTCTCCCCTTCGTCGTCAGGTGGAGGTGATCGAGGAAGCCATCAAGTACATCGACGAGCTGCACACGGCGCTGATCGAGAGGTTTCGCACCAGAGGGCTTCCGGCTACGCTTAGAGGTGAGTACCGCGCTCGGATTTTTGGTCCTAATTTTTTTTTTTTTTTGGGGGGGGTTGTTTTTTTTTGCGGGGGGCTGCTTTTTTTTGGGGGTGGGGATTTGGGGCTGTTTTGGGATTTTTTAAAATTATTTCAGTTAATTGGAATATATATATATAATATATACAATAATGTATTATATATATATATTTATATAAATATTTATTATTAAGGAGGGGCATAAAGGAATGGAATGAGACGATATGGTTGGTTAGGAAAGGAGGAAAATCCTCCCTTTCAGCCCCCTCCCTCCCTCCCCTCTTCCTCTCGCTCCCCTTCCCCCTAAACCCACCTCTTTCCCTTTCTCCCCTCTCCCCTCATCCCCCCTCATCCCCCTCTCCCTCTCTCCCCCCTCCATTCAAGGGCGAATAAAAGGAACTCGTACCCTGGCGCACCCCCTCCCCCCCTCCCCCCCACACGAAGGTATTGCAAGACAGTTGTTTGATTCAAGTTCGACGGCTAAATTTGGCCATGTTTGACGAGGAGAGTAGAGGGCGGGTTGAGGGGAAAGGGTGGGGGGTGAGGGGGAAGGGTGGGGGTGAGGGGAAGGGGGTGAGCGAGAGGGAGGAGGGGGGGCGTGTTAATGGGAGGCAGCGCGTTTGTGCACTGAGGGAGAGATGTGGGGGTGAGGGGTGAGGGGAGGAGAAAATGGGTTGGGGGAGGGTAAGGAGGAGAAAATACAGAGCGCTGAGGAGGAGGCAGACGAGGGGGCGGGCCGGTTGCCATTGTGTCATACGTGTTTACACTGGCAGAGGCAGCGCTGTGTCAGTTGTGAATGGGACGAGACATATGCGGGGGCAGGTGAGGGGAGAGCCGGAGAAAGGGGTTTGGGGGCAGGGGGAAGGAGGGGGGGTGTTAATGGGAGGCAGCGCGTGTGTGATGGAGGAGAAGAATGGGGGGGGGGGTGAGGGGAGGGGGAGAAATGTGGTTTGCGGGGAGAAGGGTGATTGGGGGGCGAGAGGGAGGATTGGGGAGGGGAAGGAATTGGGGAAGAGAAAGAGGAGGGAGAAGGCGCATGGGAGAGAGGAAGGTTTTTGGTGGGAGGGAGGAGAAAGTAGGACAGAAAGAGAAGGATAAGGACGTAGATAGATAAAGAGGGTAGATAGCTCAATAGAGATAACAGATTTGGAGCTGAGTAAAAATAAGAGAGAGTGAAAGACATAAAGACGACAGGTAAAGAAATGAAAAATACAAGGTGTTGGAGCCGAAATCAAACAAAAATAAAGATTAAAAGAAACAGAAGACAAAAAAATGTGAGGGGCAGATAGAGACTATTATTTCGAGATTATATAGATATAGCGAGGATTAGAGTTATAGCGGAGAGATATAGATGTATATAGAGATATAGTATACTAAAGAGATTAAGAGAATATATAGGAGAGATAGAGATATTTAGAAAGATAGCGAATAGAGTAGAGATAGGATATAGAGATATAGAGAGAGATCGAGATATATAGAGATAGAGATATATAAGGAGAATAACTTAATACTATAGAGATAGATGATCTACCCACTCCAGAGATAGAGATATATATAGACGCACCTAAGATATTAAAGAGATGACAATATATATAGATTAAATACTATAGGAGACAGAAATATAGAAGAGATATAGAGATGATAGAGAGGATAGATAGAGAAAGTAGAGAGAGACTAACATACAAATCAAGAAAAGACGATACTTCACCCGTTTAACTAAAACTACCGCCTATTACCTCCCTTTTACTGACTTCATTAAACCCACCCTCCCCACTCTCCCCGCCAGCTTTCTTTCCCCCCCTCTCCCGCGAGCGTTTTAACTCATTCTATAGTACACGTTGAGGTCGGACCAACATGTTAATTTTCGCAAAAATCCCTCAGATGCCATAAATTTCTGGGTCATTTTCAGCGATGAGAGAAAAAGAATACAACTTATCAAAAGACACAAAAAAGAGTTGTCAAAAAAGACAAAAAAAAAGACAAAAAAAATATCAAGATCAAAATGACAAAAAAATTATCAAAAAGATTATCAAAAACAAACAAACAAACAAACAAACTATGTCTACATACTGATCCACGTCCCCGGCCTCCTGTTGGGCGCGTGTGAGGCCCCTCGACGCAAATTACTCTCGAGAGATAAAAGATAATAAAGGAGATAAAAGCTTAGTCTTTGAACCCAGTGAACAGCGCTCATGCCGAGGAAAATGGCGTTGCTTGGATAGGGTTAGGTTGGGTTGATCGGCTTGGGGGGTTGGGTGGTGGATCGGATTGGTTGGGTTGGTTGAGTGTGTGGTTGGTTGGCTTGGCTTGGATAG